ATCATGGTTCTTAGTTTATTACAGTATTTTTCTTTCACAAAACTTTAAAATTTCAAAAATCAAACTCATGAACTATGATTTTGAACCTATAAACTAAACATCACCTAAAGCGTCACTATGTAAGTTGTCAAAAACCAGTCATCTTGATAAAAAAGACCCCTTTGGCTTGGAAGCTGACTGCCTTTGCGTAAATCCAAGAGGATGTGAAGAACTAAGCAAGTAGATTAATCTAACTGCCTTATCAAGGGAGCAAGTGAAAAAGCTTTCTTTTAGGACAAAGCATTGAAGCTCGCCGATGTAAATGTGATTTGAGACAACATGTGGAGGAATCTTGAAGTTGAGATTAATTTTTTCTCATTATAGTGTTTGTATGTAATATCTATGATGGAACGTAGCCGAGACAATACAGCGTTCCTACTCATTTAAACAACTTGAACAACATTGAAATCAAGGTTTAATTCCTAGCACTTTTCATTGATTGACATGAAGTATGGTACTTTTTACAGTACGCCAAAAGGTATATTCTAAGCTCCTTAATGACAAAATTGACTGGTATAAGTTCACTATGAGTCGGTTTTCCCATGATATCAAGTCTATGTTGATAATAATAATAATAAGACATATCATAAAATCGAGATGAATCAACGGGATTTTATACAAAAGTTGAGAAAGAGTTAGGTAAATTAATCAAGACACTTCGATTAGATTGAGGTGCTGAATATCTCGACTAAAAGTTTCGAGATTACTTAACTGAAGAACGTGTATTGTTACGAAAAATAAGAATGCAAGTGTACGTATCGTTGTCGAGTAATAAAATTCGTGATTATGAGTATCGTTCCTACGAGAATTGATTGATACTATCTACTAAAATTGTGTCTAACTTTTAACTTTATTTGAACAATCGTGAAAATTTAAAACGGAAATTAAAACAAAAATAATTAAATTAAAAATGAACGCATAATAATAACAGATGAAAATCAATATAAACAAACTCTAAGATTTCCGATTTCACCGAACCAATTCACCTTGAATTATCTATCTAATCAGTCTCAAATTATTCTCCTAGTTGACAATCTAAAATCCTTAATTTATTCAATGCTCCCTTTCGAGTTACATCAAAAATCCTGTAATTGCTAACTCACTATATTCCTATGTGAATTACAACAATTACCAAGTCATTAAGATTAATGGATTTTCACTTAGCTACCACACAAGTTATGCAAGTATATTCCTATTTCACATGCAACCTATGGCATTCAACACAATGATCTTGACACATAATTTTCTTTCCAGTTCTATTATGATTAACAAGTCTTCTAATTAGTGACGAATTAATTAAAAGCATTAAGAACAGTGTAGAATACTCATCTAGAGAAAACAATTCTTCGACTAATCAAGAACTTATGGTCCAACTACATCATAACCGTAGAATGAAAATTTAGGTATGAAAATTTAGAAGACAAAATTAAAAACATCATAACAATTGTTGTAAATATAAGAGAAGAGGTAAAGAAGAAACTGATTGTCGAATCAATGTCAAATCCATCTCGGGTTGAGCCGTTCTATCCTTTGCTTTCTTGTGTCCTCTCCTCGCTTCTCCAATGCCAAAAGATCCCCTAAAATTGCCCTAAGTACGGATATTTTTTCCTTTTAAGTCATAGGGGAAAAAAATCAGAAACGAAAAATACTTGATCAGCAGCTTTCTTTGAAGTGACGCCGCGGCTTTGCTTGAGTCATAAATTAATGTAGTTTATAGACCGTTGCATCATAAATTAATGTAATAGGTCTCTTAATTATTTAATTTTTTTCCCTTTTTTCTTGGAATGGATTCACTAAATAAATAGGTTCCTTGATGTAGATGGTAGATCTTTTCTTGAATTTTATATTACGTGTTTTTCTTAAAGATTTTTTTAAAAAAATTTGTTCAGTTAATGGGTTCTTTAAGGTTTGTGTTTAATTTTTTTTTTTTAAAAAAGAGTAAAATAAAATAAATGACTTGAACGTGTTTAGATTTAAAAATACTATATATGTATAAAGTATAAACATATTTTATATCGAACACTTCCATCTAAGTTAAATATTAAGGTATAAACATGTTTTATGTCGAGTACTTTCATCTAGGTTAAATATTAAGGGAAAAATTAACAAAATGTATTACATTACACAGATTAAATCCTCATTTTTTCCATTTTTATACTTTAATCAACTAATGTTTTAAGAATGAGTGCCTAACTAACATTTTTAGAAGGGAATGCATTCAATAAACCCCAAATATCATAGATAATTAGCAATTTAATAGTTATATCAACATTTTCGTTTAAAAAACTAATAAAATCAAGATGGAGTAGGAAAAGTTGGAGACATATCATAATTCTGGGGCACAACAAGTACATTTTAAAATTTATGGGGCATATTGACTCAAGTAACAAAGTAAAGAGGGCTTTTAATAGCACTTCAGTTAAAAAACCTAACGGAGTTAGACTCAGGAGGCGTGTTGATACAAGTAACAAAGTTTACGAGGCACAACATGCACATTTTAAAGTTCAGGGGGTATGTTGACACAAGTGAAAAAGCTCATGGGGAATTTATAAAGTCCCTGTTTGATTCACTGGTATAGTTCAATTTAACTCTGTTTGAACGACGATCACAATTTGGATTCATGTTTAGTAAGCACGCAGTTCGAATTATATTCATCGTTTGAACTGAGTTAAATTGTCCAACTTAAAGTTTAACTCCCCTTAAAGTTTAATTGTCCTTAAAATTTAACTGTTCAAACTATTTTTAAACAGTAAAAAGGAACCCACTCTCTCTGCTTTTCACACACACCAAATATAAATATAAATTTTATTCTCTATTTAGATTAAAATTTTAACTGCACATCCAAATGCTAATTCAAATTACAATTTACACAATTTAAATTTTTCTGTTCAAATCAATAAAATTCAAACCAACAAACTAAACGGGTTGAAAATTTATCATTTTATCTAACTCTTTCTCCTTCCTATCAAACTTCATAAAGGTCCTCTCCATTCCTCACATTCTTTGTAAAAGTTGTCTAAAAAAAAAGGATTTTTGGCACAATTGACCCCTGAACTTGTCATGGTTAAGCCAATTGCCCCTTAAACTTTTAATTTTAGTAAGTTTTCTCCCAAATTTGTAAATTTGTTAAAATATGTCCCATTTAGCTAAATTTGTTTAAATTTTTTTATTAGATTTAAGGGATTAAAAGTTGAGATATTGAAAGATTTGTATTATATTTAAATTAGAATGTTAAAATTTTTTACTGAACATACTTTTTTGACACTAATTTAACACAATTATCGTCAAAATAAAGTATATTGTAATAATTTTATAAATTAAGGAGGTAATTTATTAACATTTTAAGGGTAATTTGTTAAAATACCATAAATTTAGAGAGCAAATGTGTTAAAAATAAAAAAAAAATCTTAAACTGTTAATCCGTACTAAAAAAAACCGAAAAGGAAAGGTCAAAACTCAAAGTGCCTGTTTGTTCCGTTTCTAAAAACATTTTTTACGTTTTTCAAGAATAAAAAAATAAAAATGCTCTGACAACTCTGTTTGGCATTGTATTTCTTGAAAAACAGAAAATGAAAACGTTTTTTACTTGTTTCCAAAAAGTGAGAAAAATGAAAACGATTCATGATCGTTTTCATTTTCATTTTCCCCATCTCATTCTTGTTTCATTTCCTTCTCAGTCTTTCCCCGAGTCCACCCCCAACTCTTCTCCGATCTCCCTCAACCCCTCCTCTTCTTCGATCTCCTCTCCGATCTCCCTCGACCCCCTCGACCCCCCCTCTTCTCACCTGCAATTTCATCCAGGAGAAGAAGTCCCTGGCTTGCTTCCATCCCTTCTGCTCCTTCAAAACGACACACATCTCCCTAAAGCTGAGCTTCCCAACAAACGACGCCATCACCATTCTCATGTCGTACTCCCCCTCCGCCCTTTGCGAGAGTGTCCTCACGCGCTTGACGGCGGCGACCACGTGGCGGCCGTAGAGGTGGCCGTTGCGGTCGTCGTGGAGGTATTGCACCATTTGCTCGGGGGTCCGCTTGATCCACCTAGGGGTCTGTGCCTGCGGGCCCTGGTTGCGGCGGAGGGCGGCGAGGTACCTGGCCTTGGCCTTCATTATGCGGCGGGCGTTGTCGTCGGAGAGAGGGTTCTTAGGGTTCTTCGACTTCGGCTTCGGCTTGAGAGGGTCGCCGGAGGGAGGAATCCAGGGGTCCGGCGTCACCGCCGATGAGGAGCGAATTCGGAGTCGGATTCCGGTTTGGGTGGGTATTGGTGTGGTGTTGGGATTGGGAGGAAGAAGTGGTGTGGTGTTGGAGAGGAAGGAGGATTTGAAGGACTCCATTAACAGAGTCAGATAGAGAACAAGTGAGAGTAGCAGAAAGAAGATGCAAGCAAAGCAGGTGCAGATTTTATTTGTGGAGGGAAGGACGAGGGAAAAAACGACAGATAATATTCTTGTTACTTTAGGAGTTTTTTTTTTTTTTTGGCATTTCTTTTTGTTCATATAAATGTAAATTTAAAAATTAAAGAAATTGAGGGAGATTTCATATAAATGAAAACTGAAAACACAATTACATATTCTTAAAAATTAAATCATATTCTTATTTAAAATATAATTATATATTTTTAAAAATTAAGTCACTAAACACAGTTTTAATTTTTTTTAAATTAAAAATAATTTTAAAATAAAATTATTAAACATATTTTTAAAAATAATTTTAAAATAAAAATATTTTTATTTTTATTTTTATATAAAAAATAAAATTATTTTAAAACGAATTTTAAACGGCACACAAAATCCCCATCTTTGCGAAAGGTTTATCCCCTTCTCAGCGAGGTCTTGTAAAAATGATTCAATAGAAAAATTTTATCAGTAAAATAACTTTTAAACAAATTTTGTTTATGAAATCACTATCACTTAAAAAAAACGATTCGGTAGTCTTATTCATAAAAGATAAAGAATGTCATTTTATCAATAAAATAAAGTTCATTTTGTCAATTTCTTAGAATTTCTCCTTCCCAGTTCCACCATACCTCCAACTGTCGAAACTCCTCCGACTCCACTGTCCACTCCAATGGCGACAATGCTCAACCTCACTAACCCGAAGGAGCCGCTCCGAGCCGGAAACTCGGTCCTTTGCAGCAGCAGCAGCAAGAGCACCGCCAAGTCCCGGAACGACTTGGCCTTCGAGGAGAGGAAGCGCGTCTCCGTCGACTACGACCGCGGCACGCATGATGTCTCCACTCGCCTCCCCGGCCTCCGCAAGGCCGACATCCCCAAACGGCACCGTTTGCAGGTCCAAAACGACCGCTTCCAGAAGGACTGGACCATCTCCGAGGTCGCCGACCGGGTTTCCGACCTCCGCCGGTGGGACGACGTCGACGGATTGCTCAATTGCTGGATCGGACGGTTCGCCAGGAAGAATTTCCCCCTCCTTATCAGGGTAATTTGGTTAAATGATTTCTTTTTCTTGTTTGGAGTTTGGATGTGAATTGAGAAATGTTAGGGTTTTGGTTGTTCGGATGGTGTAGGAGATGACGAGGAGAGGTTCGCTCGAGCATTGCGTGAGAGTTCTCAGCTGGATGAAGAATCAGAAGAATTATTGTGCTCGGACTGATATTTACAACATGATGATCAGGTTGTGCGCGAGGCATAATCAGACCGATCAAGCTCGCGGCTTGTTCTTCGAGATGCAAGAATGGAGGTTTGTTCTTGATCGTTCGTTAGTTACTTCTGTTAGATCCGTTTTTGGCAATTATTTTATCAAGCTAAATTAATAGATCATGAAAGCAATAAATAAATAAGGAATTGATATCGAAATTCGGTAACCACCCACGTTCACGGGATCACGCCCGAAAATTGAATCATCTACTAATTCTCAACGATTACAAATCCCAATCGGACTTATGCAAATAAAGACTCTTTTTGAATTTGTCGCCGTTGTATAGAATCAACTAGATGGCGTGATTCAGTGAGTGCCACTCGTCTTTAAAATTACACGGCGAAATCCCTTCTGGCAAGTCGCTCTCTCCCAAAAAATGATAAATGATTGAACTCCCGTCAACACTTAAAATCATCTTCTCCCGAAGAATACAAATTCTTCTCCCGAAAAACGTTAATGGGAACTTCTTAAAACATTATGCGTGAGACACAGAAAGCCCACAAATGGCCTAGAGCTGTATTTATAGAACAAGCATTCCTTATCCAATTCACGTTGGCTCAATCCAATTCTATTTCAAATTATATCCACGTGTTTGTGCTCACATTATCTCCACTTTATCATTATCTCCACAATTCTCTCCTTAGATAAGCTCAGAAAATCTTGCACATAATCTCTGCGTTGATTCGTCAATTACACCTCCACATACATGCACAAGCTATATATATATATATATCTAAGACTTTCAAATGAAGGCGGGCCTTGGCACCGTGGTGGGAGCTCTTGCGTTTGCACCCGGGGTCCAAGGTTCGAATCCCGGAAACGGCCTCTTCTTCGGGGGGTAAGGCCGCGTACATATGAGATTGAGCTTTTCTCCAAGCCTGTCATAGTACGGGAGCCTTTTTGGCACTGGGGTCCGCCCTTTATTCTATCTAAGACTTTCAAATACTCGAAGCTATCACTTTATCTCCTCTCCTCATAAATAGCAATCGGATTATGCCACTAGAAATCAAATCCGAATATGCCTTTGAATTCAAATCTGAATCTGCCTTGGGTTGCAAGCAAATATCTTCTTTTCAAAACACAATCCTTATCTCCAACTCATAAAACCGGATCAAATCAGTAACTCCACAAAATTTGAAACTTGAATTCAAATCATCCATCAACTCCAATTCTGAAACTGATCTACAACCTGAATTTATATTGAACCTATTTTTTGAATTTTTTTTAGACATTGCTAATAAATTGCCAACTAATGAAAATACCTAACAATTTCCTTTTTTTTTTTTGCTTTCAAGTTTTTTGCTTTTGACTGGAATGTTGTGCATTGGAGCTTTGAACTTGCTAATGGCATATTAGAATAATTTTCTGTAATTTTTAGTTAATCAGAGAAAATAGGATAGTTTTACGATTATGGCATGTAATTTGAAATTACACTTTCAGTTTTCTCCATTATCGGTTAGTTTATCGGGGTTCCAACAATGTTTTGCTGGCTCTTGATCAAAAAACTGTCTTTTGTACCAGAACTATTTGCTGCCATGGATAAGTAGCAAGGAAAATGGCTGCTATTAATATTTATGTATTTTATTCATGACCCATAAATAATTTTGTTTCCTCTTATCTCTTCATTGTAAGAGAGAATGAACATTCTACCTAGTTTAAGTTAGTTAGGCTGCCATATTGCCTACTTATCAAACTTGAAAAAAAATTCTCATCAGTTATCATTTTGATTTTTTTTTTATTTTTTATTTTTTGGTGCCTGATAAAACATTCTTTCAATCTCTATGGCAGGTGTAAACCTGATGTTGAGACTTATAATGCTCTTATTAATGCACATGGTCGAGCAGGTCAATGGCGTTGGGCCATGAATATCATGGAAGACATGTTACGTGCAGCTGTGTGTATTTATATTCCTCTTCCCTAATCAATATTTAGTGGTCTGACTTGATGTGAGAAACCTTCTATTTTCTTGAGCACTTGGGAATTGTTTTTGCAATATTGCACTTTTGAACGTAGCATCATTAGTTTTGAATTCTCCAATGGAGTAATCACTATGACTTGTATTTATGTGTATATATTGAAGAATTCACTATGACCTGTATTTGTGTGCATATGTATGTTTTATGTTAATATTCTCCATCCTTCAGTTTTTTGTTGCCCAGTTTTAAATGAATTCTTTTAGCAGATTAGATGAATTTTTTTTTAATTGCATTGTTTCGGGGTATGGGATAAAGTACTCTTTGTTTTGATCCACTCTCCTGTTCTTTTACTGCTAATTTCTTTGTGTGTGGAAGTGTGGCGACTAGACTATTTGGCAATTCAAAATCACATCTGCAAGACCTTCATGACTTTATCTTATGTGTGCAGATCCCTCCGAGTCGGTCCACATATAACAACTTAATTAATGCCTGTGGGTCTAGTGGGAATTGGAGAGAAGCTCTTAAAGTTTGCAACAAAATGACAGACAATGGAGTTGGGCCAGATCTTGTGACTCACAACATTATCTTATCTGCCTACAAAACTGGAGCTCAATATTCAAAAGCATCATCTTATTTCGAGCTTATGAAGGGGACAGGCATCCGCCCTGACACAACAACACTTAATATTGTGATACATTGCTTGATAAAGCTCGGACAATATGCAAAAGCAATTGAAATTTTCAATTCCATGAGAAATAGGAAGGCAGAATGTGACCCCGACGTTGTAACATTCACCAGCATCATTCACATGTATTCTGTTTGTGGTCAGATTGAAAATTGTAAGGCTGTGTTTAATACAATGGTGGCAGAAGGATTAAAACCAAACATAATTTCATATAACACATTATTGGGAGCATATGCTTCGCATGGTATGGATAAAGAGGCATTGTCAGTTTTTAATGAGATAAAGCAAAGTGGTTTTCGGCCAGATATTGTGTCTTATACATCTTTACTCAATGCTTATGGAAGATTGAAGCAACCTCAAAAAGCATCGGAAGTATTTGACATGATGAAGAGAGACAAGTGGAAACCAAATCTTGTGAGCTATAATGCCCTAATTGATGCCTATGGATCTAGTGGCTTGTTAGCTCAAGCTGTTGAGGTATTGCGTGAGATGGAACAAAATGGAATTCAACCAAACATCGTTTCAATATGCACCCTTCTGGCTGCTTGTGGACGATGTGGTCAAAAGGTGAACATTGATGCTGTTCTTTCAGCAGCTAAGCTCCGCGGCATCAAGTTGAACACAGTTGCATATAACTCAGCTATTGGGAGCTATATGAATACCGGGGAAAATGAGAGAGCTGTTAGTTTGTATAGATCTATGAGGAAGAAGAAAGTTAAACCAGATTCTGTTACTTACACTCTTTTGATAAGTGGTTGTTGTAGGATGTCAAAATACGATGAGGCACTTGGTTTTTTTGATGAAATGGTGGATTTAAAAATCCCATTGTCTAATGAGGTCTGTTCATCTGCGATATGTGCGTACAGCAAACAGGCAAGTGTTTTGGCTTGAGTTTTTGTCTCTTAATGGACTCTCTTAACTTGAGAGAAATCTTATCTTCTTCTTTCTCTTGCATTATCACAGGGTCGACTTACAAAAGCAGAATCTGTGTTTGACTTGATAAAGGCAGATGGTCTTTGTCCCGACGTAGTGATGTATACCACAATGGTACATGCATATGTTGCTGCAGGTGAGATGTGCTAATATTAAAGTACTTACATGACTAAAGTTTTTTCTACAGAATAGTTTGAATTGATTTTAACACGAATCTATCCATCTCAGAAAATTGGGAGAAGGCTTGTATATTATTCGAAGAAATGGAAACAAATGGTATCCAACCGGACTCCATTGCATGTTCAGCTGTGATGAGAGCTTATAATAGAGGAGGCCAATCGTCCAAAGTTCTAATCCTGGTAGAACACATGAGAGAAAAAGGAATCCCTTTCAATGATTCCATTTTGTTTGAAATTATATCTGCCTGTAGCCTGTAAGCTCCCCTTCATTCTTTGTGTAAAATTGATGAAGATCTTTTCTAACTCCTAAAATGTATAAGAAACTGAACACTGAACTTTTGTGTCAGATTACGAGATTGGAGGACAACCATTGACCTCATTAAGTTGATGGAGCCCTCACTTCCAGTAGTTTCAATAGCCGTTATTAACCAGCTCCTCCATTTTCTTGGAAGAAGTGGGAAGGTTGAAACTATGATGAAGGTAGTTGAAAAGTTTTTCACGTCTATGATTTATTAAGTTTGCTTCTTTTTTTTCACCATTTTTAACATGAAAAAAAAAAAAGAGAAAATATTGCGCACCTTAGGCTAAATATAGTGCCAACACTGAAATGCTCTCAACTATTATTAGTTATTAAGTATTTTTAAACTTATTACTTATTATTTTCTTCTCTCTCCACGTTTATGCAGCTGTTTTACAAGATAGTCGCATCTGGTGCTGAAATTAATATGAGTACTTATTCAATTTTATTGAAAAATCTTCTGTCTTCTGGAAATTGGAGAAAATATATTGAGGTAACCAATAAGTTCTGAATAGTTCATTCTTCATGTATCTTTTCTCCTTCAGAAGATGTAGATTCATAGAAGTGTATTGTATTAGTTGTTCTTGATTGCAAATATGTTGTCCAAGTATCTGCAAATGACAAGAATTTTGACTCGTACAAGTACTTAAAATTTGTGAACTCAAGCCCTCGCCACCCCTTTTCCAGGTGCTCCAATGGATGGAGGATGCGGGAATTCAACCTTCAAATGGCATGTTTCTTGACATATCGACTTATGCACAAAAAAGTGGCGGAGCTGAATACGCTGCTATAATAAAAGAGAGACTTGGTAAGCAGATTCAAATTTCCTTTGAAACGAGTATTTTGTCGTAAGTTGTATGCATTCCTTTATAACCAATATACATGACATATTTGACCTGCCATCTGGTCTTTTATTTTCTCTGTGGGGCGTCTCTCCCCGCATCGATATTATTTGTAATAACTGTTCCCTTTTAACTTGTCAGAACATTCTTATATCTAAATTTGGCTTAATTGCTTTGTATAAATTTGCAAACAATCTTGTTTAAGTGTGGCTTGTATTTGCGTTTCTTTTTATCACTTCTAGACGAATAATTTCTTCGAGTAATCAACTTTCGCAGAATCCTTGAAGAGAAAAACAGTGGACCAAGGCTCGACTTCGAAGCTGTGTGATTCTTCGTGTCTCCCTCTCAATTGATCTGTTGGAACGAACCTGCAGTATCACGACCTTGTGGAGCCAGCAATGGCTACTATTTAACAAGTTGCAGATTGCACTTTGGTAACGATAACCGAGGCATGATTCTAGAGCTTGGAGTTTCGATATCCTGGACGCGGAAACACCTTGTTTTGAGTATGTATTTGAACTGACCAATTCAAGGCTCCTATGCAGGAGATGAAGCACAATCTGTACAGCATTACAGCTTATAACGCCTATGAGGGGTGAAAAGGGAAAATAATTTCTAAATTTTGATTTTTAAAATGCGGATAGTTGGTGTAACCACACTGACTCTTGCTAAGTAGGTTTACTTGTACATTTTTTAAATATAAATAAACCCAAGAAAAGTGACTTTTCTTTGGATTTTACTTCTTTAATTTTTTTTTTTTTTTTGGTACAAAAGATTAGGCTTGTCGACTTTTAACTGTACACTGCTAAAACGACATGTCGTCCAGTGGTTACCAGCATGTTCATGTCATGCTTATTCATATAGAAAAACACGCCAGCCTCATTCTAATCTTCCTCATGAAGAGCCATGTCGTACACATCCTTTAACAGCGTTTTTCTTCTAGTAGAATTTTTTAAAAAAATAAAAAAAAAAAAAAAAAAAAAAAAAAAAAAAAACTATAACCTGTGAAAAAAAAAAAATCTAAAACATGGTTAGATTTTCACCAAAACACCTTGACACAACGTACACTTTTGACAGCATAGATATTATGTTCTTTTCTTAAGATGCCCCTTTGTCATTATGATCTACACATAATTTTTTTCTCTCTATATATATATATATATATATATATATTTTTTTTTTAGGGAGTATGATTATGATGATTATAAGGTTGAAACGTTGCCAAAACATTCCAAAAAGAAAATAAAATTCGCTGACAGGTAAACCGGTAAAGCACCGTTGGGAGACATGTGGTGTTGGCCCTCCACATGCTCAATGCTCAATGCTCATTGCTCATTGCTCCTTCCTTATTGCCTCCCCAGGTACAAACTCACAAACTTTTCAAATAATACATGTCTAAATTACTAAACTACCCTTCCATCCCTCCTAGCCGTTACGCCCTTTGTAGACCCCTTAAAACCTTCAACTTTCCCTCTCCCCCTTTCGAACAAGAACAGGGGCAGAAGAGTAAATTCGCACCAACCCCCTCCTTCTCTGTAGTTTTCCTCTCCACAGTGAAATCCTTAAAAAACAACTCGAAACTACTCTCTCTCTCTCTCTCTCTCTCTCGAAAAGAGTTCCGATTTCCTCTCTCTAGTTTGGTTAGGGTTTTTGAATTCGTGAGTGAGTGATTGAGGTCTTCCATGGCTTCGTCTTCCTCTGATCCTGGTCTAAAGCCTGAATCTAACGGCGGCGGCGGCGGCGGCGGCGGAGGTGGAGGCGGAGGAGGAGGTGAGAGTTCGGAAGCTGCGATGGCGAACGATCAGATTTTGCTGTACAGAGGACTGAAGAAAGCGAAGAAAGAGAGGGGGTGTACGGCCAAGGAAAGGATCAGCAAAATGCCTCCCTGCGCCGCCGGGAAGCGCAGCTCCATTTACCGCGGAGTCACCAGGTATGGAGTTCGGAATTGCCTGCTTGGTTACTGAGAAAATGATTGATTTGGATAAGCTTTAGTTAGGTTAGAAATGGCAGTGATTTAGCTGCACTGTTAGTGTAAAACACTAGAATTCGGTTGTTTTCCATCCAATTCACCAAAGAGAGTTTTTTTTTTTTTTTTTTTTTTTTTTTTTTTTTTTTTTTTGCTTTATGAGCGTAATTTCGATGGAAATTTAGGCATAGATGGACGGGACGTTACGAAGCTCACCTTTGGGATAAAAGTACCTGGAATCAGAACCAGAATAAGAAGGGAAAGCAAGGTTTGATTCTCTCTCTTCTCTCTCTCTCTCTCTCTCTAGAGTTAGGCTAACAATAACGCTTGTATGAATGCTACAAGTCTATAACATGTAATTCTTATATAGTTGTTTATGCAAATGCTGATAAGTTTGATTCTTTTGTTTCATGGAATGCCCGGCCCGCGACTGAAACCTGCCAGTATACTTGGGTATGTTGGTACATTTTTTAGTTCTGTTTATATATATATGTGTGTGTGTGTGTGTGTGTGTGTGTGTGTGTGTGTATTACGAATTTGTATTTCTGTTGTAATATTTTGCATTGACTAGCATTGAATAGCATATTATTTACAGGGGCTTATGATGATGAGGAGGCTGCAGCAAGAGCATATGATCTTGCTGCGTTGAAATATTGGGGCCCCGGAACTCTCATTAACTTTCCAGTGAGATTGTCTATTTTCTTATTATTTCCTTTTTTTTATATATATTTTTACAATTGAGAATCACTTTTCCCTTATTAAATTCAGCTGTTTGTACAAGAGTCTGTTCCTCTTTTTCATTTGTTGTGAATTGATATTGCCGGACCCATTGGTTCCATTTCCCATTTTGAATTTTACGTATGTACATAAAGGGGCTCTTTTTTTTATTTCGCAGTTTTATTATTTAATTTTGTTTGATTTGTGGTAATGCTCTTAAGGACGTTGACGATGTGGTGCAGGTCACAGATTACACAAGGGATCTTGAAGAGATGCAGAACGTATCGCGAGAGGAATACCTTGCGTCTCTTAGAAGGTGTGTATATATTTCACTAAATATTTTTAAGCTGAAACTATGCCATAACTTATAGTAGATACTCTTTGCAGAAAGAGCAGTGGTTTCTCGAGAGGTATCTCTAAATACCGTGGGCTTCCGAGGTATGTTTTTTTATGTAAATTAACACTGCTTGTGTATCTATTACTGGTTAATATTGCTGTTGTGCTTGTATGTTGTTCTCAATATCTGTTGCTGTTACAATGCAGTCGGTGGGAACTGTCATTTGGTCGTATGGCTGGATCTGAGTATTTCAGTGGCATGCATTATGGTAAGTTATAATAAGATTATAAAATTCGAGTGACTTTTTTTTCCAGAAATTATAGTCTTACAATATGAAAGCCTCCACGTTGAACATAAATTTTTTCAACAAGTGGCTGCCACTTAAGATTCGTATTACCTCCAATTTGATTATGTAAATCATTTAAAGGTACAGGTGAGGATCCAGCTACAGAGAATGAATTTATGGGTAGTCTATGTTTTGAAAGAAAGATGGACTTAACAAATTGTATCAAGTGGTGGGGCCCAAACAAAAACCGTCAAGGGGATGCTAGTGTTAAATCATCAGAGGAAACTAAACATGGTTGTGCTGGGGATATTGGAAGTGAACTTAAGACATTAGAATGGGCAGTCCAGCCGACGGAACCCTACCAGATGCCTCGTTTAGGTGTGTCTCCTGAAGGGAAACAACATAAAGGTTCGAAAGTGTCTGCCTTGAGCATCTTGTCCCGATCAGCAGCCTATAAGAGCTTGCAAGAGAAAGCATCGAAGAAACAAGAGAGCAATGTGGATAATGATGAGAACAAAAATAAAAATACTATTAACCAAATGGACTATGGCAAGGCTGTCGAGAAATCTACAAGTCATGATGGTGGAAATGAGAGGCTTGGAGTAGGATTAGGAATGACTGGAGGGTTGTCTCTCCAGAGAAATATGTTCCCATTGACTCCTCTTTTGTCTGCACCGTTGCTAACCAACTATAACACCATTGATCCGTTAGTAGACCCCATTCTTTGGACATCTCTTGCTCCGGTTCTTCCAAGTGGAATTTCTCATCCAGCTGAGGTTGGTATATATCCGAGTCTCTTTCTCAATTTTCCAAGGATGCCTAATTAATTCTATAAGATTATGCAACAGATGTATCATTATCGAAATTTAATCATGAAAGAGAATATTAAGAAAAGAAACATAGTCGATATACTTGTTTTGTTCATGCGTCAGAGCTATGAATTGGCTCCTTGCTACTAAAGACATTTTCATTTTTCTAATATGTTGATATAGATTACTAGGCATGTATTTGGAGCTGGTTTTTTAATGAGTACCCACGTGGCACTGTTTTCTCCTATATCCCAGGGAAGAAACGGAACTGGTTGTGTGATTCTCTTCATTTTCAAACATAGTGTAGCTAAGAGCTAACATATTTCAATATGTTGAGTATTTTTATCGAATTCTATAGTGACATTAGAATTCCATGCTCGGCAACATTTAACAAATTTGTAAGTAATTGTATCTTAACACCAAAAAATACATCAATCACCAACCATAAGCATCTAAAAGCAACCAGATTGCTGACATTAATTGACTCGTTGTTTTAGTCTTTAAATAATAATATTCCGGCCTACTTGTTTACCAAGCATAATGTGTAAGGATTTTTGTTTCAGTATATAAGTTTGTCTTATAGAATCCTTACATGTTGTAATGCAGGTTACGAAGACCGAGACCAGTTCATCTTTCAACTTATATCGGCCAGGGGAGTAATGTCAGTCCCTGTTCCTCTGAAAGTCGGCAAAAAAATACTGATATTTGCTTGCATCACTATGCAGCGAACAACAGGCAGAAAGGGATGGATGGTTTATCATGAGAAATGAAGCTTTAACTTCTTTTGCAGGTTCGTTTTACTGGGGTTATAGAGATCACATAAAAAAGGGTATAGATTTGTAACCTTAGAATGAATGTAAGTAAAAAACAAAATTATGTATCCTGATATTTAGCTGATAAGTGATATCCCACGTTTTGTACATTGAGTTTGTGCCTGACGAGTCCAATGTAAAACTATTTTGCTGAATGAGGAAAGAGATGAAATTCTGCCTGAATAGCTGATGCCCCACGTTTTGTACATTTTAGTTATGCATGTACAGAGATTAGTTTCGCAACAATAATGTCTTCATTTTTCTTTTGCATGTCTCATGCTCTCATTTGGTATTTTATTTTTATGTACAATTAGTAACAATTAGTAGTTTCCGTCGGACTGATACATCTATAACTTCTTTTTTTTTTCTTTTTTTTTTTACGGAACTTGAATTCTTGAATTATCGTTGAGAAAAAAGGTGAAAAGAACGTTCTTCACTGTGCTTGTCATTTTTTTGCTCAAGGTATTATATTTGTTCTCTGCTAAACATTGTAGAAAGAATTTTGTCGTAGATTGCAACTTGCGGCTTTGTTGTACTTCATCTTTTCTAGCTCTCTGATGTAAGTTTTTCCTTCAAAAGAAAAAAAAAAATCTCCCAAAGAAAATCTATGGTAAAAAACAGTTAATTTATTTGAACTCTCTAGCTTGCTCCATTTTCTATAAACTTTGCCCCAAAGAGTTGTTGGACTATTCTATAGTCCATGAGCTAAATTTAGCTCGAATGTTAAGTGGGGCGGGAGGGAATTTTTTTTTCCCCCCCTTGAAAAGGACCCCTTAAAATGCATGGGTATTGAATTTTACCTTTCACACTTGATCAATACCATTTACTTAAAGAACTAAATTAGTCAAAAGAGTATTGATTAAGAATAAAGAGTAAAAATCTTAGAATATTATATTTATTATTTTTTTTTTTAAGACCAAGCCCTTTATGGATATAAGAGGAATTATTTAGTGAACGATACACCCGTCTAATAGAAAGTTAATATATGGGTATTTTTTCTATAGCATCGTTATGTAATTAAGTTTCTCTTTGCTAGTGTGTTTTACATTTATTGTTTAGTTGAAATCCTCACAAATGTTCCACCTATAATTTTTTTTAACAAAATTTTTGATTAACACTATTTTTAATCATTTATAAAATTATTTTATACATAATTTAGATTAGTTTAGAAAATTTAAACAATGATGGCCAGTAATGGTGTGATTCTTTCCCATCGTGAATTACATGTTTTACCCCGTAATCACTAAACCTCCTAATTCTACCATTTTAAAAAACTCTATCCCTTTCATTTATATGAGATATTTTCATCATAAATTGAAAAGACTAAAATACTCTTAAGTTATGGATTATAACCTGATGGATCATACTATGCTGACGTCAGTGACTGGAGGTCGGCGGCCGGTGTAATCTGTCAGGTTATAGATCATAACATGTCAGGTCATAGCCGGAGAGCCGCCGGTGGCTGATGTAATCTGTCAAGTTATGGATCATAACCTGTCAGGATATGGTCGGAGACCAGCAGGTGGCTGATGTAATCTATCGCGGCCGGCTAGAGACCCATTAGTGGCCGATGTAATCTGTCAGATTATGGATCATAACCTATCAGATTAGGACCGGAGACTTGCCGGTGGTCGATATAACTTGTTAGGTTACGAATCATAACCTGTCAGGTTATGATCAATGATTGACCGGTGACGGGAGACTGCCGACAATATCTTACAATTTATTAATGGACCATTGAGGGTAACTTTAGAATTTTAAAAATGTTTAATTTAATTATTTTCATTATATTAATTGTAAAAGGTAAAAATCAATGCATTAATTTTTAGGAGTTAAAAATAAATTGTGGTACCTATTTGAGTGGTATTTCTCTTATTTTCTCTTCGCATTTTTACACATGACAAATCAAACCACATTTAATTTAGAAGGTTTCTAGTAAGAAAGATTCAAGAAAATAATGTTTTTGTGCTATGATTATATTTATAAGAGAAAAAAACCTAAACATTTAACGATTGGATATATATATATATATATATATATACGCGTATGTGTGTTTATATATAATCAGTAAAGTATTTTATTATTTATTATTTGTATTCTTGCAAAAAATTTTGTATATAATGTGGTAAAAAGAATCTCAATTACTAAGAGTCCGTTTGGTACCTAGATTCGTTCCCTGATTCGAATCATGGTTCGTGATTCGCTACAGTATTTTCTCTCACAAAAAATACACGTAAATCAAAAATAATTCTAATCACATAATTTAAATACATGAACCAAACGCCACCTAAAAGAAACGGCTTCAAGAAAAAAAAAATATTAATGAGAGATTATAGTGGAGAACTTGTTAGTAATATATTTTTACAATGCCGTATTATATCAATCTAGTTATTAATAAGCTCATAAAATGTGATTGTTATAATTAAAAAAATGTGATTGTTTTAAAAAAAATTACGGGTAAATTTTTCAAAGTAAATTAATATTAAGAGATTTTATTAGTAAAAAAGGGAGAGATTTAAGTATAGTATTTAAGGTGGTTTTGACTAAACAATAAATGTAAACCACACTAGAAAAGAGAAACTTAATTATATAAAGATGACATATAAAAAGCACCCATATGTTAACTTTTTATTAAACAGGTGTACCACATAAGTATAATGACGTAGTACACCCGGTTTACTCAATAATTCCTCTGAATACAGCAAAACAAGTAAATATTAACGTGAGAAATTTTTGCTGGAAGTCTAGTATTTCTTATTGCTTCAGAACTTTGAGGTTTATTTAAAACAATGCACTAAATTATACAGGCAGAGCTAAATTTATGATCAAATTTATTTAAGATTTCAGTGTAATGTTCTAAGTGATAATCATACGTAATTTGAAGCTGTACGGTTTATATTTGCTCAAAATCTTAAATTAGGAAACAGTTCGCCGGTTTAAATTGTACTTTTTATATTTGCTCAAAATCTTAAATTAGGAAATAGTTCGCAATTATGGTGATTTAAATTGAAAAATCTAAACTAATGTGATTTGAAGTGTACGAGTACGCAAACAAATTATAATTCAAGTGCAATCCAGTCTTTGGTTCGCACGTTATGCTATGATAATTTTTAGGGAGATTGAGGGAAACAAACTAAGATTTGAGAAGAATTTAAATTAATAGGCAAAGATATTAAAAAATAGACTAATATGATATAAATCTATATTTATAAACAGCTAAAATTCTAAAAATACCTTCTTTGTAAAGTTTGAATTTGCCGTGTATATTTAAGATTTACCATTAGAGTTTATATACTTCTTAAAAAAGTGATGCTAATTTGGTAAATTTTAAATTTAATAAGTATATCTAGGAATTATTCATTAGAATTGTACTTTTTTTTTCAAGTTATTCTAACTTGGTAAATCCAGAATTTACCAAGTATATCCAGAATTTACCATTATAATTTGTATGGTTCTTGAAAAGGTGATACTAGGGCCTCATTCATTTCGCATATTCGAGTTTTCAATTCGAGCTGAGATGTGACATTTTTTTAGAGCTTTTCATTATAGCAGAAAAAGTTAGATGTGACATTTTCTGAGAGCTTTTTACTGTAAAAACTTAAAATTGAAAACTCGAATCGGTGAAATGAACGAGACCTAGATGATACTAACTTGGTAAATCCTTGATATACTAAGTATATCATGGATTTACCATTAAAATTTGTAATGTTATTTTTTAAGTGATTCTAACTGGTAAAGCTTGATAAATCCTGAATTTACCTAGATTCTCCGTGTATATCCAAGATTTACTATTAGAATTTGTATGATTCTTAAAAAAATGATGCTAACTTAGTGAATCTTGGATCTATCAAGTATACTTAGGATTTACCATTAAATTTGTATTGTTCTTTTTCAAGTAATTCTAACTTGGTAAATCTTAGCAAATCTTGGATTTACCGTGTATAATGAGGATATACCATTAGAATTTGCATGGCTCTTGAAAAAGTGATGCTAACTTGGTAAATTCTGAAGTTACTAAGTATATCCAGAATTTACCATTAAATTTTTACTGTTCCTTTTCAAGTTATTCTAACTTGATAAATCTAGGATTTATAGAGTATATTCAGGATCTACAATTATAGTTTGTACGGTTTTTTGAAAAAGTGATGCCGACATTCAGGATTTACAATTAGAGTTTGTACGGTTCTTGAAAAAGTGATGCTAACTTGGTAAATTCTGGATTTACCAAGTATGTTTAGGATCTATCATTAGAAGTTATACTTTTTTTCAAGTGATTTTAACTTGGTAATTACCTGGATTTGCTATGTATATTTAGGATATACCATTAGAGTTTGTACGCTTCTTGAAAAAAAGTGATGTTGACTTAGTAAATCCAGAATTTACTAAGGCCTCGTTCACTTCGCGGATTCAAGTTTTCAAATCGAGCCGAGATGCGATATTTTCTGAGAGCTTTTCACTGTAATAGAAAAAGTTAGATATGACATTTTCTGAAAGCTTTTTACTGTAGAAACCTAAAACTGAAAACTCGAATCGGTGAAATGAACGAGGCCTAAATATATCTAGAATTACTATTAGAATTTGTACCCTTTTTTTCAAGTGATTCTAACTTGGTAAATGGTGTATATCCAAGATTTTACCATTAGAGTTTGTACGATGATTAAAAAAGTGTGTTAACTTGGTAAATCTTAGATTTATCTTATACACGCAAGATTTATTTCAATTTATCGTGTGTATCTAAGATTTACTGTTAGAAGTTATACGGTTCTTTAAAAAATGATGCTGACTTGATAAATTTATCGGTCTTAGTATTAGAATTTGTACTATTTTTTTCAAGTGATTCTAACTTGGTAAATCTTGAATATACTTGAATTTACCAAATGAAAAAAAAAAAAAAAAAAAAAAACAAGAAAAGGGTAAAGTTAGAAAAAGAAAAAATTTAAAATATTAAATGCTCTATAAATTTCTATATAAGGAAAAAAGTTAAAAACATTTAAATATATGCCTATTTCTTACAATTTTCCTAAATTTATAAAGGAAAAAAGTGACAAATACTCCTTAAAATGTATGAATCTTGTATTTTTACTCTTTATACTTAATTAATATCCTTTAATCAAAGAACTATATTAACTAAAATGATATTAATTAGCTAAAATGGTAAAGGGTAAAAATTTTAGAATAAAATATTTAAAAAGTGAATTTACTAATTTTCTCTTTTATATAAAACATTGATCATTGT